TAGAGTGTAGTAAAGGAGGATTGTTGTAGGATATGAAGAACACATTTAGAGTGTAGTATAGGAGGATTATTGTAGGATATGAAGAACACATTTAGAGTGTAGTAAAGGAGGATTGTTGTAGGATATGAAGAACACATTTAGAGTGTAGTAAAGGAGGATCATTGTAGCAATGAAAACCATTTGCTAGAAATTTTGTTTTTAGAACTTTTAAGTTTTTTTAGGTACGGTTCTTGGATTATGGCACAACTGAAACAGTTTCAACAGATGACATTCGGCCTTTGGTGGAGCAGTTTCACGTAGACCCAACTTTTGCTATCAAGTGTCACTTTGCTGGAGTTAGGCCAGCAGGTGGCAACAACTGGTCTAATGTGGCATGTGAAGCTTTAAGCGAGCTACTTTCAGCACATGAAACTCTTTATCTAACTAAAAAGGTAAGTCTGAATTTGAAAATATTAACATTATTGAAATAGCTTGTTTTTGGATCTTGAGAATTCAGTGGAAAAAAATGTGGTAGTGGAATGATAAACTGTTTCCTCATATACTACCAGGAAGAAGAGAAGATAGGATAGCAGCATGTTGTTTGTCAGTTAACATTCTATCAGGAGGTATAGATGATAGGATAGCAGCATGTTTGTCAGTTAACATTCTATCAGGAGGTATAGATGATAGGATAGCAGCATGTTGTTTGTCAGTTAACATTCTATCAGGAATTAGAGAAGATAAGATAGCAGCATGTTGTTTGTCAGTCAACATTTGATCAGGAAGTAAAGAAGATAGGATAGCAGCATGTTGTTTGTCAGTCACCATTTGATCAGGACGTAGAGAAGATAGGATAGCAGCATGTTGTTTGTCAGTCAACATTTGATCAGGATGTAGAGAAGGTAAGATAGCAGCATGTTGTTTGTCAGTCAACATTCTACCAGGCAGTATAGATGATAGGAGAGCAGCATGTTGTTTGTCAGTCAGAATTCTACCAGGCAGTATAGAAGATTGGATAGCAACATGTTGTTTGTCAGTTAACATTCTATCAGGAGGTATAGATGATAGGATAGCAGCATGTTGTTTGTCAGTTAACATTGTATCAGGAATTAGAGAAGATAGGAGAGCAGCATGTTGTTTGTCAGTCAACATTTGATCAGGAAGTAAATAAGATAGGATAGCAGCATGTTGTTTGTCAGTCACCATTTGATCAGGAAATAAAGAAGATAGGATAGCAGCATTTTACTGCTCTTTTATTGGAGATGTTTGATAGCATATGTCCAAATGTTCAAAAGCAAGAACCTTAGTATTTCAGTACATGCATAAACCAAATGTTACATGAATATGTGTTTTTGATATTTTGCAAAATTGTTTTATATCTTATCAAAAGTTTACATCAGAATGTTTTTTTTAATGCAAAAACTATAAAATTATTATTCTTTCAATAATAACATTGAAATAAGAACTTCTAAATAATGTATTAAAAATTACTATTAAATACAGGGTTGATTGTAGAAAATCCCTTCCAATAAATTTAGTATCCTGAGTATCTTTTGGGGACTGAGGGATTTGGTATGGTTTAACATGCCTCATTTTTTGTTTGTGACTGGAAATTTGAATCCCAGAATTTTAACTCCTGTAATAATTTATTAATGTCGAAAATAATCAACAATAAAAGTACCATTTATTAAGAATTATTTAAAGTGATGCACGTTAAGAACTATTCTTCATATAAATTTATTTTAATAATTACTATATGTGGTTGTACTGGGAGTGAATTATCCTACGTCTTACAGCTATTGCTGCCAACTTTTTTTGTTAAGTTTGGCAAGACCCTTCAATAGATCACGTGCAACCATCAGAACATATTCTCCTATAACCTATTCAGTTGGCCCGGCATGGCCAGGTGGTTAGGGTGCTCGACTCGCAATCTGAGGGTCGCGGGTTCGAATCCCCGTCCCACCAAACGTGCTCGCCCTTTCAGCCGTGGAGGCGTTATAATCAGACGGCCAATCCCACTATTCGTTGGTAAAAGAGTAGCCCAAGAGTTGGTGGTGGGTGGTGATAACTAGCTGCCTTCCCTCTAGTTTTACACTGCCAAATTAGGGACGGCTAGTGCAGATAGCCCTCGTGTAGCTTTGTGCGAAATTCAAAACAAACCTATTTAGTCATTCAGCTACTGTAGTCAGCAGCAATTATGGAACCCTAAAACATATTTTTTTACATTAATAAATTATTACAGGGAATAAAATTACTGGGAGTGAATTCTCCTAAAACCATTTTTGTTGAATAGTATTTATGTTGCTTTGAAGTATTTGATTATTTGGTGAAAGTTTTTATTTTTTTAATTAGTGTTGCTGTTAATGTTATTTGGGTTTCCAGGGAGAAATAAAAAACAGTTCTCTTCCGATTGACTTGCTGGTTGAGGAAGTCCGTGTGGGAGGAGCCCTTGAGCCAAGCATTGTTGAATACACCAGCATTGTCCAACAGCTTTTAGACAAAGGTCTTGCAATTCCAACTCGCAAGTAAGCATTAATGTAGTCATTGAAAGTTTGATGAATTTATAATAAAAAGATCTATTATGTTATCTAGTTTTGTTTTTATTTTTAATTACTAATAGATGATATTCTCTGGAACATGGAGTAAATTGAAGGCCGTTCTCATGTCTGTGGTTCTGCTGTTAAAATGTTGTCAACATGATGATGATGCTAAGTTTTTACCAGCATTAATTTTAGATCTGATAAAGATAATTTGACAGTTTTATTTTATAGATGCTTTATTATCAGTAATAATAATATTATTGGTTTTCACTGAGATTAAAGCATCTATAAAGTTAATTTGACAGTTTTATTTTATAGATGATTTAATATCAGTAATAATAATATTATTGGTTTTCACTGAGAACAAAAATAAATTATTTTTTCTTACTTGAAATTGTAAATATACAATTAATCTTAATTTTTCTTCCAAAAATAAGTTTTGCAAGTTTTTTTATCACCAAATAAAACCATATACTGAAAATAAAGCATAAAGCTCACTGAAAAATATCCACATTCACCAGTTAACAAGATTAGCATTTCATCTTAACAAAAAAAAGTACCTTTATTTTGCATGAGCACTTTCATCCAACATAAAAAGTTTTTAATAAAAATATCTCCTGGATCGGTAAGTGACTATATTGAGATTTCCAACAACAACATCTGCCCTTCTGAACCAGTTTTTTTTTATTCTCTCTAATTAGTGAATAGACGTTTTCTTAGACTGTTTTTAGTAGAATGTACTAACATTTATTATGTGCCCAATAAATTAGTTTAGATTTTTGGACATGAAAACTTTGTTTCGTGCATGAGAAATATAAGCGTGATAGCATGTTTTGACATCCTTCTAAAGACAAAATATTATAATTTAGAAATTATATTAGAAATAGTTAAATGTAAGTTTATGTCTCCTGTGCTGATGGGTCTACATAAACTTAACATACAAAAAAAGCTGTATGTTTTTACATAAGTTACTTTTATTGGTTTTTCCCCAAATGAGATTATACTCGTTTGAAGAGCATCTGAATATAAGAGAGAACAGAAACCTATTTTTAAAGTAACATGTTAAAGTTGTTCTTTGATAACTGCAGTGTTCAAGTGGGTAGCTCCAATTTGATATCCCCAGGAAAAAATCAAAATGTCACAAATGAATCCCTTCATCCAACTGAAGTAAAATATAAAGCCAGCTTAACTAATAAAATGAAGTGGAAACCAACTGTTATGCCCAAGGAAAGAGAAATGATGGTTATACCAACACAGATTGGAGAAAATGGCACAGTTTTTTTACATAGAGTTGGTGTGGGTAAGTGTGATTTTTTTTTCTGATTACCTCATTAAAACTATCTTGAATATCAAATAGTGTTGGCTGAGAATACCAGACTATATATGGTCTGTCTTTCACATCTCATTACTGCAGAAATTTAAAACATTCATGCTTTAGGTTTATGGGTGTGTTATAAATGTAAGGGTCAGCCAGACAAGAATTGGTGGTGAGTGCTGTTGACTAG